AGAGAGCAATTAATCCTTCCGGCAATAATACGTGTGACACATCTATAATAATATATAATGTCTAAAAAATTCACATATTTTTTTTTTAAATACTACATTTACTTTCATGTAAGACCTTCTCCTCGGAATAGTACACACTGAGATAAATTGATATTCCCGTGATAGATTGGTTTTTCTTTTTTCTTTTTTTTTTAAATACTACATATTTAATAAGTAGTACATTCCCTACACTTTTTTGATATTGTTTTAATTTTCTTTTCTTTTAAATATTTAGCATAGATCTCTTCTTTTCTCTTTATTTTGTTTTTGTGTCTCGTTTTGGTATATAATTATTTTCAAGTTTAAATATATGTGATACGCAAGACGGGGGAGGGGGATGGCAAAAGTTCCTAAGTAGGTCAACGGAAAAGTTCATAGACAATTTTATTCATCGATTACACGTACGGTTTTTTTTTTTTTTTTGAAAAAGCTTTTCCGTTGGATAGAATTGTAATTTTTCAATCTGAAAAAAAAAAAACAAATTAGTGTAAAATAAAAAAAATGTAGAGCGATTAATTTTGAAAATCATTTTTGAGAGCATTTCAAACTCTGATCAACCTAGGGATTTTTTTCTTTTTTTATTCCACATCCTGCGTATATATTCCATCGATACAATTGATGCGCGAAATTTTATGGCGCCTAACACGGCGCAGTTTGAATACCTAAATATAACACATGGATTTGACGAAATATTTTAATACACTATCCATTTTCTTTTTCTTTTTGTTTTGTTTTGTTTTGTTTTAATTACTTCCTGTCTTCGTTTAGTTTCTCCTTGAAGTTTATTCGAATTCCGCATTAACCCCACAAATTTGGTAATATTTTATTTAATCCGACGTTAATTTTTTAATCACGACATCGCGAAGTGTTAATAATTATGGCAAACGGCATGGAGGAGGAGGAGGAGAGCGCACAAACATTCTCGTTGGTTTTTTTGTTTGTTGTTGATAATCATATATATACGAATCTCATTCGAGTAATTCTAACTAACGTAAGATTCGTAAATGTCGACAAAATAATTTCATTACTTTCCGAGAACGTTCACGCGCGGAACCATATTGGAAAGAATATAAAATACCTAATGTGTATCTCGTAGAAGTATAAATGATCTCTTTTTCGTTATTTGATCTTCCTCTTCTTCGTTTTTCTTCTCCCCTTTCATATCTCTAATAACAACAATATCGAACGAAATAACTATTATACAAAAAGAAAAAAGAAAATAATTATTTTCAAAAGCTGCTTATACCGATAATGCGTGCAATTAAACAAAAACAAAAAAAATATTTATATATATATAGGTATATACATATATATATATATATGTGCGTGTATGAGTTACACGCACGCATACACGCACCACATATACATCATGTATTATTATGGAGAAATATTATTAATGACACGTGTACAATTCATTGTATACTCATGGTACTGCATGCGATATAGTTCATTAATTAATTAATCAATCAAACAATTATTATAGAGCAGTGATATAACAACGATAACAGTTAACAACAACAATATATTCGCGAATTATTTCAACGCGTTAGAGAGAAATGATTCGATAAAAAGGGTTCGACCGGCAACGTATATAAATTCTCATGATACTCTTTCCTGTGGTTGGACAATTTTTCGAACAACATAACACGTAACGTTGCTGTGCTTTCAAAATCAAACAGATTTTACCTATGTAAATGTATACGTTTGTTTGTTTGTGTTTCTATGTGTTTTCGTGGAATACGTGTTTGTTTGTGTGCGAGTGTGTGTGTATGCATGTGTGCGCGCGCCTGCGTATGTATATATAATATGATATAGGAAAAAATGTTCTTTCGTCGACTTTGTACACGCAGGCCGCTCAAATTCGCTTGCAGTTTTCCACGATCCAATTACACGACCCTGCATATTTTTCCTGAATTTTTATAAATAAATATAGATATGTATATGTATATACGTATATATACAGGGTTAGATGTTAAAAAGCGAGGTCAAATGTATCTAGATGATATTCAATATCAATTATCCTTTTTCGTAACATTTTTCAGACTACATTTAGGCTTGTAATTTGTTCTATTTCCAAATAAAAATATCGATTGATCTAAAAAGTAGTCTTGATTATATAAACAAAAAAAGAACAAAAGAATAATTGACGTATAAGATATAATTTAAGAATTTGTGATCCTACTAAGAAAGTTGTAACACCTATCCTGTATACACACATATATATATACACATATGTATTTCTTTTTTAATGTTGCTGAAATTTTAATATCGAAACACGTGTCGGTAAGAAGAGTGTCTTTATGTCTCCTAGAACATACATCCATCTTGAATTTTACGTGTACATACATACTATTTATATGTAATATTGTTTGGCATTATTCATTCTTTATTTTTTTTGTATAAAATATATTTAGGAAATTTTGCGAGTAATTTTAATTTAACGTTGATTATTTTTGTTCATCTTATTGTTTAATTGTTAACCAATGTTATATCAAGAGAAAAGGGTATGCATGTATATAACGTAAAATAATATATGGCGGCCATTTTGAATCCTTCATTCGTTTGGTACGACGACAACGTAATAACACATGGATCATTCAAATAGACATCGAAATGTTCTTAACACATTAATCATTGATTATTATTATTATTATTATTATTATTATTATTATTATTATAATTATTATTATTACCATTATCATTATCATCATCATAATCATAATCATTATCACTTTGTCATGTGTAATTTACGGAGTGAGACACTCTCCTCCGTGTGTGTGTCTCTGAGTGTATTTGATGTACTTAATTTTCGATCAAGGTCAATTCGCGCGAATGCGATATACACCGTAATTGATATACCTAATATACATATTTGTTTCAAAACTGGCGTCGGCACAAAATAGCTTTTTCATTCTTTTTTCTGTTTTTCTTATTCTTTTTTTTTTTTGTTTTTTTCTTTCTTCTTCTTCTTCTTCTACTACTTCTTCTTTTTCTTCTTCTTCTTTTTCATGTTATTCTCTTTTTCCAGAAAAAAACATAGAGAAACATTTTTTGCGATTTGATTTATTCGAAAAAAGCTACTGCCCCAAATAAGCAGCTTGTTGCATTCGTTAATATGCTACTACTTAGAGAGTACTGCGATGTACAAAAATGTAAAGAAGATATCAAATTTAAGAAATACATATTCGAGATACATATACGTATATAAATATATATTTGTATACAATATATTTCAACAGGACGGGCAAATGAATTTTTTCCTTTAGATGATTTGAAAATAAATCAAACGTTTTCTTTCCGGAACTTCAAGCTTAATTTTCCCTTAGACCGAAAAAAAAAAAAAAAAATCGAGCCTAAGATCTATGGGGAAAAAAATAAAGAAGAGAGGATTTAATTTGTAAAAGTTCACTTAGGAACACTATTGTCTTA